CCCACGAGGGCACGGGGAAAGCACGGGCCCCGGCTGGGAAGGCGCCTTCGTCCCAGAAGCTTTCCCCATTGCTCTTGGCTGTGCTGAAGAGCTGGGTGAGGTGCATCAGCAGGAGACTGGCGGTGACCGCACACCGATGAGCTATGTGCTGACTTGACGGAGGCAGGGACACTCCTGGAGGGGGAGGGACTGGACAAGGAATGCAGCCCACAGCCGGCCTTGAGGAGAGGTTTGATCATTCTGGGGGCCTCTGTGCTGGGTCCTGTGGGGCAGGGGAATGAGCTGTGAGAGGCCTGGGTCACATTAGAGTAGGCCTTCTGGGACAGGGCTGTGTTCTGGTGGTGGGCTTGGCAGTGTCACCCAGCGGGGGGAGGCTCCATCGCCCACTGCCCTCCCCCCACTTTGGGATGTCTGGACATCTGTGTACTGGCCTGTGGGGCATCTGGCACTGCCATATAATCCTCCCAGCTCTCTGGGAAGTGGGTCCTGTCATCCCCGTTATGCATGAGGAAGTTGAGGCTTGAAGAGATGACGTGACTGGCCCAGGTCACACACTTGTGCAGTCAGGACGTGAAGCTCAGTTTTACGGGCTCCAGCCCTCCTGCTCTGCACTGCATCCCCGTCTCTCTCATGGCTCCTATCAGTCTCCCCACCCGCCCCCAGCGCCTCGGCTTCCACCTGCCCCTTCAGTGTTGGTGGTTATGGGGTTCTCATCCCCTCTCACCCGATGACCAGAGATTCTTTTCTTTCCTTTCCAAGTTTTTATTTAAATTCCAGTTAGTTACCATACATAACAGTCTGTTTAGTTTCCGGTGTAGAGTTTAGGGATTCGGTACTTCCACACAACACGCGGTGCCCTCCTCAGTGCCCATCCCCTATTTCCCCATCCCGATACCAAAGATTCTTCAGCAGAAGTCAGCAGATCCCTTGACTTCGGGGATCCCGTGACCCTCCACAATGGTGTACAGAATTTGTAAGGTGTATGTGCCTGTGTGTGTTTTTCTGAGAAGAGAAGCCGTAGCTTTTATTATAGGAGACAGGCTGGGGTTTTGTTGGTACTTGATGTTTTTACGGCTGGGGAAACCCCAGAATGCCCAAATCATGTCTTGGTCGTATTCCTCCTTTCCCTGAAATTCCTGAGGAGACTCTGCCTCAGGACAGTGACAGATGGGAAAAAAACTAGCGCCGCTGAATGGCTCAGTGTGTCAGTTCCGGGGCTCTCCTGCAGGGCTCTCTGGGACTCGAGACCCACACGCAGGCCCCCTTTCTCCGGGGGCAGGGAGCAGAAGCTGATCAGGAGCTGGGCCCACTGCTGTACGACAGCAGGGAGTTAAAAAGAGGGTGTGTGTGTGTGTGTGTTAGAGAGAAAGACTTCTTGCCTTATCCCAGTAAATGGGACACTCCGTGTGTGTGTGTGTGTGTGTTAGAGAGAGAGAAAGACTTCTTGCCTTATCCCAGTAAATGGGACACTCAGTACCCTCAAACCTAAGTGGCCAGATCAGCTGCTGCTTCTCCCCACCGAAGCTTTGGGCGGAATCTCACAGAGAGCAGAGCTAATGAGCTAATTTCCGACAGTTTCACATAGTAGTCACATACGGGACTTCAGACCTTGTTTCACAGAGGACATCTCATGTCATGGAGAGAACCGGGTTCTGAAGTTGGATGCAGCCAGAGCTCCCCTCGCCTCTCTGAGCCCCAGTTGCCTCTGTGAAATGGGATGTGGGGCACCTACCAGGTGACCCCTACTCGCCTCGGAGCTGCTGGAGGGCAGAGGGCAAGTCCCATTCATCCTTAACCCTAGGCCCCAGACTTCCTGAGGTGGGAACAGTAATGACGACGGTCAGTGGTGTGGCAGAACACCCATCTTGGCATCATGACACTCGGGTTTGAATATTGGCCCAGCCACTTGTGTGACCTTGATCGAGCATGTTGCTTCTTCTTGGGGTCTGTACCTGTGAAGTGGGTGAAAGTGGAGGAGATGTAAACAGGTACGGTCTGGGAAAACTAGCCGGGAGCCTCGCACCCCGCCCCCCCGCTGTGCCCATTCCTGGTTCTCCTGAGCAGCCCCTGTGCCTCCTGCTCTTCAGGTGGGGGGGGGGCAGGCATGGGCGGGAACCCCGGGTGGGGAACCGTTGGGGCCTGCCAGGCTCCACAGAGGGGACAGGGGCCCAGCACAAGCTGATAGCCGCATTCCTTTCAGTCCACACCTGGCCCTCTCAGCAGGAGCTCCTCCCCACATCCGCCTAAGATCTTGGCCATCTCCACCCTTCCTACCGGGTCCTGTGGTCCCTGCCTTTGGGTCTGTGGGATTCTGAGAAGATAGACTCAAAAGAAGCAGATGACCAGTAAGCCAGGATGGGCTGGAGACATGAAGAATCCAGTGTGGATTCCTGGGTATCTGGTTTGGAAGATGGGGTGGATAGTAGAGAACAGGTAGTAGAAGACATGGAAGAACATACAGAGAGGAGAAGAGGAGACGGAGCAGATCTGGAGAAACCACAAACCACATCCAGCAACAGCGGACTGGTTCAATAAGTTATGATACATGCTGGTGACATGGTTCTTAGAAAACATACTTTTGATGTCTGTAACATTCAGTTATAGAGATGGATCATTTAGCCAAACCTCTGCTGTATATTTCTGGATTTTCCTCTGGTTTGAATTGCATTTTATAAACAACACTGGAGTAAACAGCTTTTTACAAATGTCTTCACCATTCTGATTACTTTCAGAAGAGAAATGTTGCAGTCAGCAGATATAAAAACAGCCTTGAGGCTTTTGATACATATTGTCAGGTTGCCTTTTAGAAAGGCTCTACCGATTTTACTCCTATAGCAATGCAGGAGAATCCCGCCGGGGCGTGCCAATCACCACGGGCACCAAGATACATACCCAGACACACACACACACACACACACACACACACACATTTTAGAGATAACAAAGAGCATCTTATTTTAATTTGCGTCTCTTTGTCACTACTGAGTTTGTTTATGCTTATTAACCTTATTTTATGTTCTTTTCCTACTTTTATGGTGTCCCATTAATTTTTTTCATGAATTTTTAAAATATGTCTTATTTGTGACAAAATGTTTCTTTTTTGCTTCCTTCATAATTTTACTTATTCTATTTTTGATATACTAAAACCCTTAAAAATGTTTACAAAGTCAAAATCTGTTTTTTTAAATTTATTTCTAACATTGCATTAACATGTCAAAAGTTCATTTATAAAATATACACCTCAATTTTTAGTTTTGCTTTTTCAGCATTTAGTTATTTTGGGTACAGTGTGAGGAGAGGAAGTAAAAGGATCTTTTTTCTAAAGAGCCAATGTTCAGATACCACTTCCTGAGAAAATCATCTTGTGCCCACCGACGGTGAAGCTTCCTTTATCATAACCTAAGCTGATACATATATATGTCTATATTGCTCTGCTTCTGGGCTGTCTTGTTTCATTGATCTTTGTGTTGATTCTTATACATCTACCAATGTCTCAACAATTGCAAATTCATAATATACTCTAATATCTAATTTTTAAATTTGGGGGCTATTTTACCTGTTAAATATTTTGGATGGGTTTTTGGAATCCTTTTGGTAAATTTCAAAGGTCCTACTGGGATTTTTCTTAGACTTCTGTTAAGCCTACATGAATCTGGGCAGAGTTGGCATTGTGTTAGTATTCAGCCTTCCCATCCAAAAACAGTTTGTCTCTCCCGTTTTTTTTTTTTTTAAGTCATCTTTTTATATCTCTCAATAAATGATTATAGGTTTTTTAAATTGTTATTACAGGTAACATATCTTTAAGTCTGTTGCTCAGTATTTGATATTTTTCATTAGGATTGCAAATGGGATCTCCTTTGTATTATATCTGGTGATTGTTTCCTATTGGAGTGCACATCCCATTACTAAATTATTCTCTCCATTCTAAGTTGAGTTGGTTTTTTTTTAGGTTTTCTAGGCAAATAACAAACACCCTGAGATACCAGGTTAGAGTCCATGGGCTTGGTAATGCCTCCAGTCTGCAGGATTGGTGCAGTTCTCTCCAACAGTAGTCAGAGTCCAGCTGTAAGGGTGGAAAAGGTGGCTGAATGGATTGAGCCCACGTTCAGGGGTTCCTGAGGCTGGGGCAATAGAAGGGCAAGGGGCAGGGGGCTGAAGGAGCTCACAGGAAAGCTCCCTAGAGTGACCGACTTCAGGGACTAGACCAGAAAGGGCTCGTGTACTGGACACAAAAGTAGGGCTGGGGACTGGAGGAAGGCAGAGAGTCCAGAGAGGACGTTGTGGCCCTGGAATGGATGCTGGGGTGTCAGGTTTGAGAGCTGATGCCTTTCCCGTAGGACTGGGCTCCCTGAGATCTCCACTTTGCAGTTAAAGACACTAAAGCCCTGAGAGCTTGTCACTTGCCTAAAGTCACCCACTGCTAATCAGTGGCATACTGTGTTCTGCTGTGCCTTACTAGCTCACGTTCTGTCCTTATTTTTCAGGTTCACTTTAGAACAGTTGACTGAAAGCAAGGAGAGACAGCAGAAGGGAAAGGAGGCGAGCCCAGCAGAGCAGTTAGGAGAGAGTGGGCAGGCTTCTCGTGGCCCCTCAGTTAACTGCAAAGGGGAGGGGACAGCTGGGCTGCTGGGTGCTCCTGCTGATCCAAGAATCCCCTCAGACCAGAACAGCACACCTCAGGGCACCACCCTGTGTGCCCCTGCCCTGCAGTTCACTCTGTGTCCTCCCTTATACTCTGTGGCCACACCATGTGCTCACTGTCCCCCACCACATACTCTTGTCTCTTTCATACATCCTGTGTCGTCCCCCCCACCCCTGACACCAACACACCAGCTCATCCCTCTGCCAGGGTGTTTATTCCCCGTGCCCCGGGTTCCCCAGTGTATACATCATGCCCCACTTGTTTTGTTTGCCTGTACACACTTGGGGCCGTGCCACACACACACGGTCCCATGGCGAGCTGTGTGCCCAGCTCACGCCCACTTACGCTGTGTCTGCAGAGTGCATCGGATGGCTTCTGGAAATCTGTGGCCACGCGGGTGCCCAAGGAGCCCCCTGAGATTCGCATCCTCAACCCATACTTCATCCAGGAGGCCGCTTTCACCCTCATCGGACTGCCCTTCAACAATGGCCTCATGGGCCGCGGGGTGAGACAGCGGGGCCCTGGGAGAGGGCACGGGGAGCAGGATCAGAGATGCCTTGGGAAGGGAGGACAGGGTGGCAGGGTGAGGGGCAGGGGGCCTAGTCCTCGGAAATGGAGCTCAGCTCTGCTGAGTGCGGCTAAGGGTCTCAGCCTGGCTCAGTTCTCCAGCTGAATTCTGCACCTCCTCCGTTCCCTCCAGAACATCCCGACCCTTGGCAGTGTGGCAGTGACCATGGCACTACACGGCTGTGACGAGGTGGCAGTCGCAGGCTTTGGCTACGACATGAGCACGCCCAACGCACCCCTGCACTACTATGAGACCGTGCGCATGGCAGCCATCAAAGAGGTGCTGGGCTGGGCGGGGGGGCATCCCTGGGCAGGGCCGAGGGAGGGGTGCTCCCAGCACAAACCAACGGAAAGGGGTGAGCCAGTAGCTGGTCCGGCTGCCCAGAGTTCACAAAGTTGGGTCACTGGAGGTCCATGCCTGCCTTCAGGTCTCTGGTCACCACGCATCCTCTGTGCCCCTGAACCTAGCGCCTCCTTCCCCACCCTTCTCGCCCCGAACGTTCCCTCCCTGGCCCTCTCCCTGCCCTTTTCCTGCACCCGCCTCATCCTTGCTATTCCCAAATGCCATATGCTAATCCTGGCACCAGCTCAGAGCCATCTCCTCCATCGAAAGCCCTGTCTTCCCCCAGAAGACGTCCATGCCCCCTCAAGCCACCCCGAGACCTTGCCTCTCTGTGTCGAGACCGTCCCTGTACCCCTCTGCCCTCCCCTGTGAAGGAAGACCTGAAGCACTGATGCTCTTGATCACCCAGAATGGCTTCCCAGGTGATCCATATGTCCAGGTGCCTTCATGTTCAAGAAGCATTCCGGGTCTCAGGGCTGGCAGTCAGCCTCCTCTGACAGCATCTCTGCCTTCACATCCAGAGCCCCTGTGAACCCCTCTTACAGTCCCCTCCTGGGGCCTGCACATCTTGGGCCAGCGCTCTGAGCAGCTTCTCTGCTCCCACATGGGGGGCTGGGGAGGAGGGGGTGTTGGAGGACGCCTCCCCTCTGCGCAGACTCCTAGTTCTATAAATGTAGGGGTCCCCGACTCAGCCAGCCCTCCTTCCTGCTCGTCACCTCTCACACGCCCTCCTCCGACCCAGAGCCCTGGTCCCCTCTCCGCCCCCCGCGTCCAGTGGGAAAACAGGCTGCAGCGGGGACTCTGGCAACTGCTGCGGGCTCGTCCCCTCTGCCCTCCTCACTCCCTCGCGGCCTGACTTCCCCCTTCCCCGTGACTCCCGCTAAGGTCGCCAGTGACTCCACTCAAGGCTGCCAAATCCGGTGGGCACGTGCGCGCCTCATCCTTCCTGACCTCTCAGAAACTCTTTGTGTTGACCACTCCTTCCTCTTTGAAACTTTTCCTGCTCAGACTTGCGAGTCCTCACTCCCTGGTGTTCCTCTCACTTCACTTGCCGGCCTCTCTCGTTCTCTTCCTCAGCGTCCTTGATTTCAGTCCACCCCGAAAGAGTCAGCGCTCGCTAGGGCTCTGTCCTGGACGGTCTCCTCACTGTCCACGTTCTCTAGGAGCTTGACAGCCCCGTCCGTGGCTTGAGTTCCCTTCTGTATGATGGCACACGTGTTGCTTGCTCGGGCCACCTCAAGCAATGAGAAGTTATTGCAGGAATTTAAGAGAGACTTGGGAAACCAGGAGCGGCCTTATGGCAGGGCCCCCAGGGTAGCCTGGAATGGGGTTCAGGGTGGGGGGCCCGTCCCAGGGTTAGGACAGCTCCTGACCGATGCCACCCCCCTCGGCAGTGGTTCCAGACCTGCCTCCTTGTTGCCAGGAGCCCGTTGGTCTTTCCATCTGTGTCTCTTCGTATTATCTTCTTGCTTTCTCGGCCTTGCCAGCCCCCACTCTGAACCACCAGCACAGCCATCGCCTGTCTCCTGGCTTCTGTTTGCTTGTATCTTTGGCCTCTTACAGACTCCGTTTATGTGAACTTTGCATCAGAGCCCCAGGCGGAGGGGGCGAGGCCATAACCAGCTCACGCAGGGCTTCGTGGGCCGTGGTGAGGAGTTGGGGCTCTGCTCTGAAGGCCGGGAGGAGCCACGGGAGGCTCTTGGGCTGTAGAGTAGCGTGCAGTAGGTCGCTGTGGCTGCAGCACGAAACAGAGGGGCGCGAGGCAGATCGATCCAGCCGGGCCGCTGCCCCAGCAGCCTAGGCAAGAGAGGCAGGCTCCTGACCAGGAACTGTTCAGGGGCGAGGAGAAGGCCGAAGAGAGACTGCATTTTCAATCCGTAGGTCTTGTCTCAGTGCGGGAATGAGGGAGGACTGCACCTTCCCTGAAACCCTCTGGTGGAGCCTGTTCCCTTTCTTTCTTCTTCAGTTTCTGGGCCAAACTGCCCCCCCCCCACATTATCTCTGAAAGTGGCTGGCTTGAGGCTCACGACATCGGCTGTGCCCGCCCCGCGCAGGGTGCTGGGGACTTCAAGCTATGAGATCAAATGGCCTGGGTTTAGAACCTTTCTTTCCTTCCCAGTAAGGGGAGAATGACAGCACCCACCCCCTAGGTTTGGGGGAGATTAGACATGATAATGTGTAAAAACAAAAAAAACAGCCTGGCCCATAGTAAGCACTCATAAATGTTAGCTGTTATTATTAATGGTTTTTTAAATTTATTTTTTTGAAGATTTTATTTTTGGACAGAGAGAGAGAGAGACAGGGAAAGAGGGAACACAGGCAGGGAGAGTGGGAGGGGGAGAAGCAGGCTTCCTGCGGAGCAGGGAGCCCGATGCGGGGCTCGATCCCAGGACCCTGGGATCATGACCCGAGCCGAAGGCAGATGCATAACGACTGAGCCCCCCAGGCGCCCCGCTGTTACTATTAATGTTTTATCCATACTTATCACCATTTCCTCCCGGTATCCTGGCCGAAGACTCACTGGAAATGCCGGTGCCTGGGTTTAGCACCCCTGCTGTCCACCTTGAGGGTCTGCAGGAAGCAGGTGAACCGTTTTCAGCACCCTGGCCCCAACACCACTTCCCTCCGCTCGGCCCAGGGGCCCGTTCTCCAGGCCCAGCAGGAGGGGGCGGGCCGTGGAGACAAGCGGAGCACGGGTTCCGTGCTGGGGGACATCCAGGGGAAGGTACATCAAAAGAGTTCAGAGAGGAGACGGAGCGAAGGTAGGGAGGAGTTAGGAAGGTGCAGGGTCATGGAGACCAAGGGAGCAGCGTTCGGGGACTGTCCCCCACGTCAGGCGCTGTCGAGAAGTCCAGTTAGAGGAGCACTGGGAAATGGCCAGTGGCTGCACCGGTGAGGGGGCCGCGCAGACGGTGGGGAGAGCAGCTTCGAAGGCCAGTGGCTGCTCAGGGAGTAAAGGCAGTGCGGAGAGGCAGGCATGGTGCCCAGTACGTGCTCCGGGGAAGCAGGGACGAGGAGGAGGAGGAAGGGGATAGAGCAGCAGCTTGCTCAGGGCCCAAGTGGGCTCACACGGGACTGTGCGACCCAGCGGAGAAGCTCGGGCTGGAAATGTCCATTTGTGAGTTGTGAGCCCAGCTGCCGGTTCAGATCTGCGGCCAGTAGAGTACAAAGCGCAGGCGGTCAGGGCAGCACCAGGGTTTAAAGACTGGGCGAAGGACAAGGAGCCAGAGTTGGAGACAGAAAAAGAGCTGTCAGAAGGACAGCTGCATCCAGAATCAAGGGTCCTGCTGCGGCTGGGGACCCAGGACTGCCAGAATTCTGCCCCAGCCCGTAGATGGTGTAGACAACATGGTGTAGACAGCTCTGGTAAGCTCCTGTGCCGTCTGCATGGAAGGGAGAATGAGGAGGCCTTGCCTGGTCTAAGAGAGCTACAGCCCAGGGCCAACCTTTTTGTTTACTATTTTATTATGGACACTGTCAAACATATTCATAAATGTAGAAAATAATATGATGAACTCTCAGGCACCTGTCACCCACTTCCCCCAGTTAGCAGCACATGGCCAGTGTTCATCTGTTCTTCCTCTCATGCACCCCTCCCCACTGATTATTTGGAAATAAGTCTCAAATACCATATCATTCCAACCATAAATATTTCAGTAGCTTTCTCTAAAAGATAAGAACTTTTAAAATATTATCACAATACCATTATCACACCTAAAAAAATTAATAATTCCTTAATATCACAAAAAATGTCCAGTCTTGGGGTGCCTGGCTGGCTCAGTTGGAAGAGCATGCAACTCGGGTTCATGAGTGCGAGCCCCACAATGGGTGTAAGAGATTAATGTAAAAATAAATAAATCAATCAGTCAACTTTAAAAACAATGTCCAGGGGCGCCTGGGTAGCTCAGTTGGTTAAGCGACTGCCTTCGGCTCAGGTCATGATCCCGGAGTCCTGGGATCGAGTCCCACATCAGGCTCCCGGCTCAGCGGGGAGCCTGCTTCTCCCTCTGACCCTCTCCCCTCTCATGCTGTTTTTCTCTCTCTCTCAAATAAATAAATAAAATCTAAAATAAGATAAAAAATAAAAACAATGTCCATTCTTCCGCTGAGCTTTCAACCATCGGTGACTCCCAGTGGGTGTTCTTGAAACTAACCCATCAGATTGGTTGCTTCTTCCTGGGGGTGATGAAGGGGAGACATAAGGAAAGAGCAGTATAAGTTTACACATCTATTCGGCTCCTGGCCCTGCCATTCCTCCAAGCCTCTGTGTTCTTAACCCACAAAATCGAATTTCATTCAGCACATCTTTATTGAGCACCTACTGTGTCAGCCAAACAGTCCCTGCCTTCAAAGAGAGACAGTGTGCCAGATGACTGACTCTTCGAGGGATGAGGGCAGAGCGTGCTGGGGGTCTGCAACAGGAGGGGACAGTTCAGACAGCAGAGTGTCATGACAGGAGCCTCGAGGGAGCCGGAGGTTTTAGGGAGTTTGGAGGAACAGTCGTGTAGTCGCAGCGATTGAGAGAGGAGGCAGACCCTGCAGACCTTCCAGGTGCCATGGAGCGTGGAGTGGGGGAGAAGAAACGGTCACCATTTGAGATGTGTCTGAGGGACACTGTCCTTAGGGGCAGCCGGCTTCATGGTTAGCCCAAGAAGTCGAAGGGCATAGTCAGAGGACACAGGGAATTTGGCCTGCGTTTCTGATTGAAGAGATTTGGCAAAGCTGGAGAAGGTTGACTGGATGAGAAAAGGGCCAGGACAGAGCCCTGGGTCCTTCGCACCAGCCAGCGGCGCCCGAGCACACCGCTGTGAGGTTCCTGCAGAGCGGTCAGGGGTGTACGGACTACGAAGAGGCTGTCCGCTTTCCCTGAGTCAGTCAGTCCTTTCTCATTCTTTGAGAGACTTAGCCACCAGAGCCTCCTGGTGCGAGTACTGGGGACAGGACAGAGCCTGAGCCTGGGTGCAGTCTTCGCCCAGGAAAGCCCAGAAAGGGGGCATCTTCCCTGTCATTTCCACATTCACAGAAAGGTGAGCTTCTTGTCCTCGGGCGCCCTGGCTCCTCTGATCTGGGAGGCAGGATTTCATCAGCCTGGAGACCGCGCTGCATCAGGCCGGAGGATGACTGAGCCACCCCACGCGGTTCTCCTCCCAGCAGGGCGCACCCCCCCGGGCCTGGGCCAGCTCTCACTGACTCATGTGGCCTGCCCTCGGGGTGCCTAGGACCTAGGTGCCCTGGACGCGCTGCCAGACAAGGAGGTGACGTCTGGGGGAACAGGGTCGGAAGGCCTCCACCTTCGAAGACTTGGAAGAAGAGGAGAGGCAGAGTTCTTGTAGGGCGGGGAAAGGGGTTCTGGGAAGGGAGGAGGGTGAGCAGATTTCCCAGTCACAGAGCACTGGGCGCGAGCGGTGGGCAGAAGAGAGCACCGAGCTCCACTCATCCCTTCCCTGTGCCTTTCCTTTCAGTCCTGGACACACAATATCCAGCGGGAGAAGGAGTTTCTGCGGAAGCTGGTGAAAGCACGAGTCATCACTGACCTAACCAGCGGCATCTGAGGTGGGCCCAGCGCGCGGCCACGGAGGTCCTCGCACCGCCAAGAGGAAGCAGCAAGCACCGCCACCTGCCCACTCCATTGGCCTCGGTCTGGCTCCGCCTGAAAGGTGCAGGAGTCTGCAGACCCAGAGAAGGACAGTGCCAAGTGGCCGCAGGGGTGGCAAGGCCTCGGCAGGGCAGCCAGAGCTGTGTCTGCCCAGAGGCCAGCCTCAGAGACCAGCACTTAGCGTCATTCTCAGCCTGGGGCCTTGAAGCCAGAGGGCCGGGAGGCCGCCGGCCGTGCCCAGCAGGCCCAGCATGCAGGAGGTGGACATCAGGCTGCAAGGCTGCTGCTGGAATCATTTCTCCAATCAGTGTTTGGTGTATTATCATTTTGTGAATTGGGGTAGGGGGGAGGGGAGGGATAATTTATTTTTAAATAAGGTTGGAGATGTCAAGTTTGGTCCACTTGCCATGCAGAAAGAGGCCCACTAGGGGGCCCGTCGGGCTCCCTGTAGAGTGGGGGTGCCGCGACTAGCCTGTGCCCTGCTTGGGGCTAGAGGGAGATGGGCAGGATCTCATGCCAACCCCCTCCAGCTCATGACACTGTTTGGCCTTTCTTGAGGAGAAGATGGGGTATTCCCATGCACCAGCCCCTAACTACGCCACAGGGAAACCCTGGAGTCATCGTTGAAGCCCACAAGGCAGACCCTGGGTTAAGCAGAGAGAAGTTCAGAGCTCGGGAGGCGAGGCCTGGCCTAGCGTGATGGGAATGCCCCCCCACCCCCACCCCACCCCCCGCTGCAGCTGATCCACAGGACAGTGCCCCAGCCTGGACTGACCAACTTGGCAGCTGTTCTGGATTTCGGCAACGACACTGTCAGGTCCTTGGGCTCTGCCTTCAGCCTGGACCAGAGGGAAGTGAGGCTCAAGGACCTTACCCAGGCTGTGGCAGCCACCCTGGCCAGCCATCCTGGAAGCAATAAAGCTCTTCCCTGAATCTGGCCTCCTCTTGCTTTCTCTGACTCTCCTGGAAGAAGCAGGACCCTGGGGCCTCAGCAACTCCATTAAACCCAAGGGCCATCTCTCTAAGCCCACAGATTCCTCGGTCCCTTTCTCTTCTCCTGTCAACTGCAGGACCTGGGGAGCCCCCTGGGGGCCTTGGGAAGCCTCTCCCATCCCACACAGTCCTGCACCCTCTTGGCCTTAAGAGAGGCAGACCAGGGCGCCTGGGTGGCTCAGATGGTTGAGTGTCTGCCTTCGGCTCGGGTCATGATCCCAGGGTCCTGGGATCGAGTCCCACATCGGGCTCCCTGCTCCTTGGGAGCCTGCTTCTCCCTCTGCCTCTCTCTCTCTCTGTCTCTCATGAATAAATAAATAAAATCTTTAAAAAAAATAAAATAAAAATAAGAGAGGCAGACCAGAGGTATGAGGGCATGCCCCAGAGTCTACCCTACCCTAAAGGAGCCAGAGGGCAGGGGGTTGAAATCCACGGCCCTAGGACAGCACCTCTAGGCCCCCAGAGCCCCAATTCTGCGGGGACAGAGATTCCTGCAAGCACAAGAAAGCTATGTGCATAGAGAGGCTCACAGACCACACTTGCTCCTGACACCCCGGGGTGAGCTCTGGAGAGAAAATGCCCCACCCCCACCCAGAGCACAAAGGCACACCCTCTCCCCACAGCCCGCCTCTACCCACACAGAACAGAAAGGCAGAGCCCAGCTCTAGGCACCCTCAGGTAAACGTGGGAAAGAACACCCGCACCCCCACTCCCACCCCGAGAGCCCTAGAATCTGACCGCTCCCCTCTCAGCGACCCCAGGCAGGCCTGAGATCCGGACAAACACACCCCTGCATCAGAGGCATGGAGTGAGCTTCCTGCCAGAGCTGCCACTGTGGCACCAAGAGAGGCTGGCTGGTCCCCTTGCCTCTCGCTTGCCATCCCAAGGGCCACCAGTGCCCCACATGCCCCCTTACTGCTGTGGTTTGTCCTCAGGCAGAAACCGCCTCCTCTGAGGGGAAAGTCGGGCCCTGACAGAGGGACAGGCACACCCAGAACTCCCTTGGGATGCTGCTGGAAACAGGGCACAACTCCAGTGCACGTTGTCTTCTACGGGAATGGCGCCCCCTGGAGTTGTACGGGGCCTAGGCTGCAGGCCTACAAGAGGCAGCCATGGTTGATAAAGTCCCAGGTTGCAGGAAGCAGCAGAGAGAGGAGCTATTCACTGCTCGGTCCCCTGTCCCACAGGGGTTCTGTCAGGCCTGTGGACAGCCACCTCCCCCCACCGCCCAGCAGTTCTCCGTGGGCTGGCTTCCACTGTACGGAACCTGCTGTCACAAAGCGGTGGTTCTCGGCCCCGGCCATACGCCAGACTAAGCTGTGTAAGCTGGAAAATCTGCACATGCCCACCCCAAGATTCTGATTCAGGTTTGGGGTGGGGCCCAGATGTGGGTGGTTTTTAAAGGTCCACAGGAGATTCTGATGCGTAGACAAGGTATAGGCTGGTCCACACAAGCCCCCTGAGCACTTTCATCCCCACCTACGGCTCCCAACTGTCAGTTGGTCGACAATTCCCAGATTGCCCTCTTCAGCCCAGCTCTCTCCACTTTGCTCCAGGCTACACATTCAGCTACTTCCTGAGCGTTACCACTAAGGTAATCCACAGGTCCTTCCAACTCCACACGTCCAACACTGAACTCGTGAGCTCCTGTCCCCAACCCGCCCTCCTCAAGGGAAGCCCAGCTTCCGGCATGCGGCCCCTCCACCTCGTCACCCTGGCCAAAGGCGCGCCTCTCTCTGTCCTACCTCTTCATCCCATCCAATCAGGCTCCAACTGAGTTTTCAAGAAGATGTGGTCTGAAAAGCCTTGCGGCCCTCTGCTCACGCCACGTCTCTGCCTCAGACCCCTCTCTCCCCAGCAGCCTCCTTACGTCTCCTCCAGACCAGCCAGTCACTGCAATGCATGTCTGGTCGCACCATTCTGCGGCCTGAAACCCTTCAGTGGTCCCCAGGGCCACTGCCATAAAGTCCAGACTCCCCAGTATGACACACAGGATCTGGCCTTCCCTTACATCTATCCATGTTACTCAACCTCCAGCTCACCTGCCAAATTGCTGTAATTAGGCACCTGAAATACTACCCTCCAGCCGTGCGTGTGCATCTCCTCTGTGACCCTCCCTTCCTCAGCCCGGGCCCCCGCTCCTACCAGCACTGCCCTTGCGGGGCCCGGGGAGCACCGTGTTTGCCGGCGGGCGGCAGGGCGGCTGGAGTCGGGTCGGGCCTCCAGAGCCCCAGCGCAGCACCTCACCGACCCGACAAGTTCCGTGGGTCTGCTGAGAGAAGAAGCTAGCGGTGGGCCAGATAGCGGGGAGCAGCCGCGGCGGGTCGGCCAGCCGGGACCCAGGAAACCGCACCCATCTCAGGGCCCACAGCCGAGGCAGGGACCGGCCTGTCCCCTCCTTCCCCGCCCTCCGCCCAGCCTCCCAACTCCCTACTTCGCGCGTCTACAAGCTCTGAACGCCCAGTTCCCGCGCCTCTCCGCCGCCCGGGTTCTCCGCTCTGCGTCCCAGGGTCCCTTCCCAGCGTCTCCTCCCCGCCACCCCCGCCCAGCTCGGGGGACCTAGCATAACCTGAGGGGGCCAGATCCCAGCAGGTGGAGCGGCCAGGTGAGCCCTGAAAGGTGGGGTTGGGCGGGGGCGCTCCGGGCCCCACCCCGGGATCCGGTGACGCCGGGGCTGGAATTTGACACCGGATGGCGGCGGGCATGAGGCTGCTGAGGGATGGAGTTGGGCCCGGCCCCCAGACACGGCCCACGGGCTCCGCCAGCAGCAGGTCCCTCGGGCCCCAGCCCTCACTGCGTCCCGGACCCAGAGCCCTGCACCGCGGTAAGCCGACCTGTTGGCCCACCCCTGTCCCAGCCCTGGGGCTCAGGGGAGCGGGCGGGATAGTTCCCCTCCGCTCCTTTCCCACGTCCTCCCTCTCCTGGGCCGGAGGCACAGCTCTCCGCCCCTCCCAGCCCCCTCAGTCCCCCTGTCACTGATCGGACTGCGTTAGCCCGCTGTAATGTGAGGCCCCCGCTGCCGCTACAGGGCGCACACTGGCTGCCAAGGCCACGCTTTTGGCTAAAAGAGGCGCTGCCAGGTGCACAGTCCTGGGCATGAGCCTTTTAAGCTGCGGGGGAAAGCCCAGCACTGGTCCCAGGAAAGGTGCCTAGAAGAACCACGGAGGAGGACCCCTGTGGTGAGTATCGGCCGGCAAGGGCGGGGAAGCAAGGACTGGTGGACCAAGTGGCCCCCAGCCTGCCACGAGGGAGGCTGGGCCTGACCTGCCCTCAAGAGACCTGCTCCTGAGCTCCCCCTAGTGCAGGGGGTCACTGAGGCTGCCTGGCCCGGCTTTCCCTCCGTCAATGAGAACAGTCACTAGCCCGGCCCCTCAAGGCCTGATTCAATTAGCAGAGCACACCTGGCCCTGGAGGAGCACACCGGGGAGGCCTGGGGAGGTCTGGTCCACAGGTATGCAGATGTTCTATGTGCTATGGGGTGGGGGTGGATGGTGACAGCTGGGACCCAAAGGCAGACCAGCTAGAGGGTTCTAGGGCCCCAGAGGGGTGTTGGGAATGCCAGCCAGGGTGGGTCCGCCAAAGGGTTGGTGGGGCTCAGAAAGGATGGCTGGGCTCAGGAAGGATGGCTCCTGGGGGAAACTTAGAGGAGCAGGGCCAGGCTGCCAGACCCACAGGAAGCTGGAAGGGGAACAGACCTGGACCAGCTCTCAAAGACCGGGTTGAAGTGGAGGCCTGGAGGGCCCTCCTGAGAGTTGCTCAGCCCTGAGTTTATTTGAGCTCAGCCAAAAGCCCACCTCCCCTTTGAGTCTGCAGGCTTGGCAATGCTGCCCCCTGGTGGCCACAGGGAGCCATGCCCAGGCCCTATGTTAGAGGGCCCATCAGCCCCCATCGCCGGCTGGCTCTTTAGGGACCATCTGTGGTTGAGAAGAGAGAACTCTGGCGGCTGGGTCCAGACAGATCACAGAGGAGCAAGGTGTAGCAGCGCTGGGTGGGCAACACAGGCTGAGGCCGGGGCATCGCTGACATCAGATAGGTCAACAGCAAGCACCCTAAATCTTCTCTAGGCCACATCTTCCTGCTCGTGACATAGAGACAATGCTCTCTGTGGGACCCAGTGAGTCCAACTACTCCTTTCTCCAGCTGCTCCTGGCAGCTCCAGCCCTGCAGGACAGAGCAGCAAGGCCCCGGGGAAAGAGACCTGGGATGGTAGGCAGCCGCCAAGCTTCTCTGAGTCTTACCTGCCCTCTACCTCATGGAGTTGTGAGGACTGAAAGAGGGAAGCAGGTGCAAAGCACCAACACACAGGTTCTCAATGCAGTTACTTCTCTACCTGGGTTGAGTCCAGCTGTCCAAGCCCCTTGAACTTCGTCTGGAGACACTGAAGTGGAGGGATGACCTGCTCAAAGGATAACTCCTCTCTCAATGCTCCAAGCTGCCTCGAGAGGAGGCGGGGGGGGGGGGATGGGGGACGGGGACGGGGACGGGAGCAGGTCGACTACGGCTGATGGGCCGTCCTGGTATTGACAGAAATGGAGCCCGGATGTGGAAGCCCTTCTGTGCTGCCCCACTGGCCCCAGCCTAAGCGGCAGGTGAGTGGCTCTCCCAGGGGACTGCCACCTGGAATTGAGGAAAGGTGGTTTGACTGGGGAGGAAGCGCAGGGCTTGGCCGGCGACAGAAACGGAAGGGGAAATGCTCAAGGAGGGACCAGGAGTGAGGAGGAAAGTCAATCATCTCTCCCCTGGGCTCCCTGAGGCAGCGGACCCACTATCCTCCAACCTAAACCCTCCGGGAGCTCCCCCCACCCAACTAAGCGCCCATCCTCTCTCTGATCCGCGCTGCCCCAGCCCCTTCCTGAGCTCCCTCCACCCCGAGCCGACCTGGGTGTCCTATTCCTCCCTGAGGCTCCGCTTCTGTCTCCGCGCAGCCTGCCCTGTGGCCAACCCT